GTAAAGCTAATCATAGTATCCCATCCTAGCATCTGCCCATTCCAAGGACGTGGCTATTCGAATCGGTTTAAGTAACTCTACAGAGATATACAAATTTCCCTACATGATAGGCACAATCCCTTCCATGATCAGTGGATGGAATAGGCCTAACGAGATCCCGTACCCGCTTGGGTGCTACCCTAGACTTCCATATAACTCTATCGCGGCTTCTCAGGGGTTGGAAAACACACTAAACTCGGGAGGATACCTTATCGTCCCATCTCATAATCCCGGATGATATCACATCATCCCTTCATATAATCTCGGATGATACCACATCATCTCGACATAACAGTGCCGATGATACCAAATCATAAAAAAACAATAATAAAATGGGCTCGAATGCGGCCAAGGTCAAGGGGCTTAAAGCGGAGGATCACATAGCAACCATGCCAACCGGACCATGGAAGATCACATAGCATCCATGTCTGCTCCTGATATTCCGCTGCCAACACCGACCTCCTAGTAAAAATTATACTTCTATCTAATGGGGTGTGAGATCAAGTCTACCCATATAAACATGTGGCTGTATGTAACATCGCACTAGGTGAGAGGGACTACAAACCGGTCCTTATGTGAGCAAGGCGAGCATATCCCCAGGAACCCTATCCAAGCATTCCCGCTAAGATAACTTATCCCACATAAGCTATCCCCGCTCGCCCCTTGTTGGGGTTTAGTTTCAAGTTTACCAATTTTAAGTTCCATCAATTATTATCCCTAAGTTCATCTATGTCATGGAGCTCATAAAACAACAAGATAACCATTTATCTCAGTTCAACAATAATCATTTCATAATAACCGAGCTCATATTCCAGGATAATAATTAAGCAAGTTATACATTTAGTGATGATTAAAGCAAGATGGTAGAGGAGAGGGGGAGCTATGACTTGCCTTCGCTGTTGGCTACTTCCAGCACGTTCTCATAGTCAGAGTCTTCGCTTTCCCGGTAGTCACCGTCGTCTGTTGGCGTAGCTATTGGATAAGACTACCGCCAAACACAAAATAAAAGGGGAAAAGCAAACATAGAACAACATGGTGGTACCAGGATGAATGCATAGAGCTAGATTTTAGGTGAATTTTAGAAATGGTTTTACGTAAAAAGGAGCTAGGATGCAAAAGTTATGTATTTTAGAAGTTTCTTCTATAGCTAATTATTTAGATGGAATTTTACATGTATTTTCTGATGCATGAAAATGGGTGCAAATTATATGATTAAATTCCCTAATGCATCTAGTTTATTTACAAATTTTCTAGGAATTTTTCTAAGCTAGGAAAATAGGTTTATAGCCTTCTGTGTACACTAACCGGGTATACCTAGCGTTTTCCTAAGTGTACCTAGCGCTGTGTGTGTGGAGTGTGTGTGTGTGACAGGTGGGGCCAGCCGGCCACATCAGCAGGAGACGCCGACAGTGGCGTTAGGGCCGTGGGCCCATGTGACAAAGAGAGGGGAGAGGGAAGAGAGGTGACAGACGGGGACGCCCGTTTGAGGAAACGGTGTTACCGCCCGGTCCCACACGACAGCGAGAGCAGAGGGGGAAGGAGGGAATGGCGACGGACGGTGGCTGTGCCGGTGACGGAAATTGGGGAGGAGGGCGATGAGTTCACCGAAGCGGGTTGCGCCGGCGGCGTTGGCCCTCGGTGGTGACAGACGAGTGGTGGACGGTGCTCATGGGGTCACGCTGTAGCCAGTGGCAGGGTTGCCGATGGCAGCGGGTGCCCACGACGGTGGTGGCGGCTCGCCGGAGTGGACACGGCGGCGCTGTGCGGCGGATATGATCCTAGAGGCCTTAAATCTATCAACTACCTAGTGTACGTGAGTGCGAGCGAGTGGCGAGTGTAGTGGTAGTGGTGTACTGCCCGGGCGGACCCTGGTCGACGGTGGCCGTCGGCCATGGTGGCTCGGCGGGCTCGGTGCTCAGCGGCAATGCGACACAGTAGCATAGACGATTTACTAGCTATAGAAAAAGGAAGAGGAGCTTGGGGACTCACCTGTTAGCCCAATCGGCCAATGGCGCAGCAGAGAATTATAGGGAGCGAGGCGGCTTCAATGGCACTGGTGACTCCCGATTTGGGGGAAATCAGAGTAGAGCAAGGAGGAGATGGGGAGAGGAGGAGTGGAGGGGGAGATGGGGTGTTCCCGCTAGCGGCGGAGCTGGTGGTGGAGTGGGCGAGGCCGGAGCGGCACTGGTCGGGCCTATTTATAGGCCGGCCATGTCGGTTCCGGCGGCGAGACATTTCTCGCCCGTAGAGCTTACCCATGGCGCGCACACATTCCTAATCCGCTAGGTCGGTTCGCCACAGTGCGGGCTTGCCCACGCGTGCGACCGAGAGAACTCGAGCTTGCCCATGGCGGTACGGCGGGGTGTGTTCGCCATCGCGTGTCGAGGGAGCTGCAGTGAAGGACAGAGAGAAGAAAGGAGAGGTGGAGGTGGGGTCGAAAAATCTCTCTGAGCATCCCGGTGTTCTTTATTTCGCCGGGGCGAGGCGGTGACGAAGGGGCCAAGCAGCTCGGGCGGCGACGCGGTATTCGCGTCGTCGGCCCGAGGTAGACGACGGGCTTGACGGCCGGTTCTCACGTGCCAGCGAGAGAGAGAGGAGAAGGGAGAGGAGGCGGGCGCGAGTTGGGCCAAGGCGCGGCGACGGGCCAGCCCAGTCGCGGGAGAGGGAGGAAGGGGAGAAGAGAGGAGGAGGAGGTGGGCTGCTGCTGGTGCTCTGGGCCAAGGGAAGGAGGAAATGAGCCCAGTTTCTTTTTCCTAGATTTCCTATACTAAGTTTGAATGCATTTTGAACTCAAATTTAAATATAGATGCATGCAAGGTGTACCACCATGTTCAACAAGCAAGCAAACACTTAAGCACACAATTCTGCGCCTATGATTTTATCCTTATGTTGTCCTATTTATATTAGTTCCTTGGTTAATTAGTTATATGTGTTGGTTCCTATGCAAGGTTTTAAAAGTTCAAATTTTTAGTGATTTTTAAATTAGGTCAAAATTCAGGGTGTTACAGGAGTCTTGCCGCACAAGTCCAGGTGACATGGTGAAACAACACTGCAGCTGACATGTGGGTTCCATGTTTCAGATTCATGCAAGCGATTGAATCAACATGCCATGTAGGATAGTAAGTTGGATAAACGCCCGTTTGAATCTAGATGAGACCCGTTATAACTGTAGGGAACAAAAAATATATTTTAGGACTTTGAGGACCTAGATGATATCTTAAGACAACTTTAAGAACGGCTGCTAATTTTTACTCTAAATAGAAAATTTTGCGTAGCTCTCGACACTCTAGATATAAGTTCTTTTGTCTTATATATTGAAAAATTACATCATTTTGACATATTAATTTTTATTTAAAACAACCTAGATGTGTAATCGCTATGACAAGGCAAATGAGGTATTCAATTTTCGTCACTCATGTTTTCGCAATGTCATAACGTTTCTTTTGGCGTTTTGATGATGAATGGAGATTTTTGTCAGGCTTACCATCTGATGCAAAAGCAAAGCCAAATAATTCTGTCAATGCTTGAGGAATCTTCATATGAGCCAAGAGGTGGCAATCGACGAGGCGGTGGCGAGGATCATAACATGAATATCTTCCGTATAACATCGCTAATAGGCGAGAGTGATGTAGATAAAAAAAGTAGCACTCTATAAAAATTTTATGTATTATTTGAACTCTAATTTCTTTGGATTACATTAAGTCTGCATGTGGATAAACAATTTTTGTTGAACTATCTGCCATTTTTTGTTGAACTATTTACTGTACCAATTTTAAAATATTTATTTATTTATCAGTATCAATCAGGTTGATTATTATTTTAGCAAGCAAACAGCAAAAAAATTGAACTCCATCAGGTCTCAGGGCATGTACAGTCAGTGGCTGAAAAATCCCAAAGGTACAATAGTTCTTTTGAATTAGAACTTTATATCATGATCCAAACGATCATGTAGTTTGAAAGTTTAAAGTTTAATCATTTAAAGTTTAATTCTAAATTTTTGGCAACTAAATTTTAGAACGGGAATCGAACTTCACAGTTGTTTTTAGCTTCTACTGCATAGGTACTGATGAAACAACTTCTTCTTAAGAGACGTTATTTATATCGTGTTTGGTCGAGGGCCTCCTAGGCAGCTCCCACGCCAGGCAGCTCTGCCTAGGAGCAATCTAAACACGCCCTTAGCTTCTTGTCACAGACACAATTTCATCTTATCACAGACACAGTTTCACAGATAAAGGTGGAAATACTAGCTTCTTCCAGCTCTCTTCTTACTATCATCTTTGAGAAGCCATTTGACCAACGTTTTTTAAAATAACTTTAACTTTATTACCGAAGCTGCTCTATGAAATCAAAGAAAAAAAAAACTACCAAAGGACCCTTACTAGTAAGGCTGAGGTCTACCAAACAAGTCCGTAGTTTACTATAGTCCAGCCGTACAGTATCCGTCTCAAAAAACATGTAATTCTAGCATTCAAGTCTTGTCTCAAAAAACATGTAATTGTAGAGTTAAATATCACCTTTTTAATAGGACCCACTAGTTAAAAATATTCCTACGTGACTAAAAATATCATCCATGAGAAAAACATTCCAGAAGACAACCACTTATAGAATGATGGAGGAGGGGCAAATACGTAATTTTACACCTACAGTCATTTTACCTCGAAAAGTGAGATTTACATCTTTTTGACGTAAGGAGTAGTTTACTGTATCAATGGACGTGGGACGTAGAGTAGTTTACTGTATCGATGGACGTGCGCAAAAGTCTTCCAACAACGTGTAGGTACAGAGATCATAATCTGAACCTGATGCTTTGGGTGGCAGGGCGCCAATAGTTTATCGGCTTATGGCAGGCCACCGCCCACCGACTTCACTTAATAGGGAAGGAGTGGTCTACAGAGCAAGCAGCACTGCAGCAGCAGCAGGAACCGCACCTTGGCACCGCAAGAGCTGAGCGACCCTCGGCCATGTCGACTCGAGCTGAGAAGCTAGCCACCCAAGCGGTGTTCTTCCCACTCCCGGCGCAGGGCCACGTCACGCCGGCACTGCACCTGGCCAAGCTCCTCCACGTCCGGGGACGCGTCAGCGTCACCTTCGTCCACTCCGACCGCAACCGCCGCCGCCTGCTCCGCACACGGGGCCCCGCTGCGCTGGCCGGCGCCCCGGGCTTTGGCTTCGCCTCCGTCCCGGACGGCCTTCCGCCGCCCTGTGGTGAAGACGACGACGACTCCCCGCAGGTCATGGTCAGCCTGCTTGCGTCACTCGATGCCTTTGTCCCGCACCTAAAGAAACTGCTCGAAGACCTGTCTGCCTCCGGAGCACCGTCAACATGCGTCGTCTCCGACATCGATCCCGTCCTGCGCGCCGCCGCGGACGTCGGTGTCCGGGCGGTGGCCTTCTGGACGACGAGCGCCTGCGGGCTCCTGGCGTCCCTGCATTGCCAGCAACTCAGCGACAAGGGCTTAGATCCCCTCAAAGGTACCGGAGATGCTAGCTGTCTCTGATTAATATCGATCCGTAGATGAACAATTTTTGATTGGTTCATCAATTGCTACCAACCATCAATGTCCAACTCCGTCTGCAGATGAAGAGCAGCTGTGCAATGGCTACCTGGACAGCACGGTCATCGACCCGGTGCCGGGGCTGCCGGCAGACATGCGCCTGCGCGACATGGCAAGCTTCGTCCGGACAACGTCCTTGCACACATGCAGGCTCTACCGACGGCCGCGACCGCCGTCGTCCTCAACACGTTCGGCGAGCTGGAGGGCGAGGTCGTCGCCGCCATGTCGGCCGTCCTTCCACCCATCTATGCCGTCGGCTCGCTCCCGCTGCTCACGGAAGCCGCCGCCGGCCCACTGGAGACGCTAAGCGCCAACCTCACCAAGGAGGACGACGGGTGCCTGGCATGGCTCGGAAGCAAGGAACCCGGATCCGTGGTGTACGCCAACTTCGGGAGCATAGTCGTGCTGACGCCCCAGCAAATCGAGGAGTTCGCGTGGGGGTTGGCCAACAGCGGCTACCACTTTCTGATGGTACTCAGGGGCGCCATGCAGGCGACGCTAGCGCCGGAGTTTGTCGAGGCGACCAAGGACCGGGGCTATGTGACCAGCTGGTGCCCTCAGCGGGAGGTGCTCCGGCACCAGGCCATCGGCGTGTTCCTGACGCACTGTGGGTGGAACTCGATGCTCGAGGCCATCTGCTCCGGGGATCCCATGTTGTGCTGGCCCTTGATAGGATTTATACTATCATCTAGGCGTAGATCAATAGGTAAACTTGACTTAAGACACTACCTTATTAAGTACCTCATCGAGAGGCAATCGCGGCCATGGCGCCGCCGCCGAGGTAGCAACGACGTGGAGACGCGGTCCAGTGACGGCGACGAAGGTGATGGCGCTTCCCGTCGTTTACAGCGTGCTCTTCTAGGTCGGACTAGGGCTAGGAACCTCGGTGGGGCGCTGGCGGCTACGGTGAACATCGTGTCTTGTGCCCCAGCCCCCACTGTCCTTTTATGGTGCTGCGCGACGGGGGCCATCAGCTAGGAGAACCGGCTGAGCGCCCCGATCAGGGCGCGGATCAAGGTCCCAATTGACCGTTGGGCCAACTAGTGGAGATCAAATTAACATTGTCCTCCTTGATCTCACCTTATAACTTAAACTCAACTTTATCTTTTTCCTATTCCATCACATATCAGTGCATAGAGTTGCCTCATCGTCACGGTCAGTTGCCACTAGATTAAATAGCTACAATGCACCTCTATGTTTTGAAACAGATTCTCAACTAGGCCCTTAGTATCCAGAAATCATAGACTTTTTCGTAAACTCATGTCGACTGTGTGTTCTCTGAACGTACTGGGTGGTTAGCTTTTGGTAAGTAGATCCCCAAGTATTTACTTTGTACTCATATGCTCAATGCTTTCACAATGATTCCAGACTTTCTCCTTTACAACATATAACTCAATGTCAATGTGTTTGGCAGCACACTTGACCTGTTGTCTTAGGAGTTAACTACTTTAAATGGTTATTGCTGTTGACTACCATTGTTAAATCCGGATACTAATTCCCTTAACCTCTTTTTGTCTATTCCTTAAGCCTCATGTCAAGCTATACTATGGTATGCATCATGCATCACTGATGACACCGCAACTGTTTGTTTGGAGCTTTTTCACAATAATACTCCAATTGCTAGTGTTAGCAACTACTGTGGATTTTACTACACATCTCATCAAGACTTAACATTTGTACCCTTAACTATTTGAGAGTACTTGTTCTTTCTTACTCAGCATAAGGTCTATGATACTTTGTAAAATTGCAAGAAATTATTAACTCCATTCCAGTGACCTATATCCGGACTGGACTTCTGTCAAAATATCCTGGATACGTAAACTACGTCAGGGTAAGTTCTTACTTGTACTTGTACACTCATCAAGCTTCGAACAACTGAAGCATATAGAACCATGTTTATTTGATCGATCTCATATCGGTTCCTGAAACACTTAAAGTTCCCAAATCTATAACCCTTGACTATAGGAGCAGCCGTAGGTTTACTCGCATGCATACTTTATTTCTTTAAAATCTTTTCTAAGTATGCCTTTGCGATAGTCCTAATACCCCATTTTCTTCTATCTCGATGAATTTCAATTCCTAAAACCAATGATGCTTCACCAAAATCATTCATATTAAAACTTAAGGACAAAAACTTTTTCTCCAATGGTAGATTAACATCACTACAAGTGAGTTGGATGTCATCTATACACAATACACAGGATGCGGAAAAAGAATTTTCTATTCTTGAACTTCGTATAAACGCTATTGTCCTTCTTATTTTCTTTAAATTCAAACTTTCTTATCGTTTCATCAACTTCAAATACTAGTGTCTAGAGACTTGTTTTAACCCATAAATGGATTTCTACAGGTGACATCGCATACGTTCTTTTTCTTCCACGACAAAACCTTTAGGTTGTGCCATGTAAACGTTTTCATACAAATCCCTGTTGAGGAATGCCGTCTTTACATCCATATGATGTAACTCTAAATTGTAATGTGCCAATAACATTATTATGATTCTAAAAGAATCCTTGCATGAGACTGTAGAGAAAACTCTCATCGTAATCTATTCATTCTCTTTGCGTAAAGCCTTTTGCTACAAGTCATGCTTTATATCTTTTCACATTTCCTTTGGAGTTACATTTTATCTTGTAGACCCTTTCACAGCTTACTGTTTTGGCTCCATTAGGAATTTCTTCTAAGTCCTAAACATCGTTGGTATTCATCGAATTTATTTCAACTTCCATAGCTTCTTGCCACTCAAACGGGTAAACGCTTCTCATGGCTTCTTCAAATGAGGTGGGATCACCCTCCATTTGAATTTGTTCACTAACATAGACTTCATAGTCATCAGAAAACTAGTTTATTAATTCTTTAAGACCTTCTAGGGCCTCAGCTACTGGCACTTTCATGTGGGGCTGTTATTGCTCTTCATTGCCAAGAGGCAATTGATTCTACAGGCTCCTGTATTACAAGATCATTGTTTACATTATTCATCTTCTTCGAAGAGCCAACAACAGGTGTTGTATAAGTCATACAACATCAACAGGTATCGAGAAATTCGTTGGTTTGAATCACTGAAGTGGGCACGCAGTCCCGTTTCTCTTCAAGTCATAGGTCTCTACATACCGTGCTCCCCCAGATCGTCCTATCTTTTATAAAGATAGTGTATCTTTCAATTTCTTAGTTGAGTTCAATCTGTTAAAACCTTATATAGTGCTTTAAGCACCGCTTTAATATCTCCTGTTAGTTCGAATTTAATTAGAAGATAATTAACATTAAACTTTGTAGCAGAAACTAAAAAAATTCTTTATCTTCTTTTCAGAAGCATTTCACTGTACTTATCTACTCTCTGAAAAAATTATCCCGTTGGTTTAAATTTTGACAGAGATTTAAACTAGACAAAAAATCATCAAAATTTGCTCCTGAAAATGAATAAACATGACTCGGTATCTACTGTTCATTTTGCCCAGCCCGTTAAAACGAAGACGTGGCCCAAAGAATAAACACCGCTTTGCATGCCCACGCCGTGGCCAATGACAAATTTCAACACGGTCGCTGCTCATTGCTCTCCCACGCCCAGAGCGTAACACGGGCTCAGGCCAGATTTCCTCAACCCGCCTAGGCTAAAAGCCAGTCCAGCGAATACCGACCGCCGATCGCAATCGAACGATCGTCTGTCGTTCTCGGCAGATCAAAACTCCCCGTGGCCGGCTCTCCCCTGAACCCTAATTCCATTTGCTCTTCCCCTTTCTCTCTCTACGCCGCAGCGCACCAGACACAGAAGTGATGGCGACTCAAGGCTGCCGGAGAAGAGATTGCGGCGCCACGAGCCCCCTCGCTGGAGCGACGCGCTCCCTAGTGGGAGAGCGTGCCGCCGTTGAGTGGCCTCGCGTCTGCGCCTTGAGCCCACGCGCCGGTGACCCAGCGTCGAGCAGCGGCTCATCCCGTTCTGCCCGCGCGATGGCGGTGGTGACGGCGGTGAGAAAACCGGGTAGGTTCTCCCCTCTCCGTCCACTTTCTTCTAGGGTTAGGGTTTTGATCTGATTCGGAAAACGAATCCCCTCCTTCTACTGAGTCCGCATGTGGTGCGGCTCCCTTACCGCGCGTCATCAAAGCGGCGTGGTCTTCTTCCCGCGCGACGGTGGTCTTCTTCCTTAGTGTTAGGGTTTCGGTTCTAATCCCGTTTCACTTTTCTACCCTGATCTACGATCTACACACTAGAAACCTAGAAAACCTGGCTCTGATACCATTGATAGGATTTTTAGGATCATCTAGGCGTAGATCAATGGGTAAAACTTGACTTAAACAATACCTCGTTAAGTACCTCATCGAGAGGCAGTCGCAGCCATGGCGCCGCCGACGAGGTAGCAGCGACGTGGAGGTGCGGTCCAATGGCGGCGGTGAAGGCGATGGCGCTTTCTGTCGCTCACAGCGTGCCCTTCTAGATCGAAATAGGGCTAGTAACCTCGGTGGGGCGCTGGCGGTTACGGTGAACCTCGCGTCTTGTGCCCCAACCCCCACCGTCCTTTTATGGCGCTGCGTGATGGGGGCCCATCAGCTAGTAGAACCGGCTAAGCGCCTCCAATCTGAGCACGGATCAAGGGCCCAATTAGCCGTTGGGCAAACTAGTGAAGATAAAACTAACAACCCTTTGCTGTGGATCATCATACCAACCACCGATTCGCCTGCACGGAATGACGTGTTGGCGTCGAGATCGGCAGCGACGTTAAGAGAGGGGAGGTGGGGACGTTGGTAAGCGATGTCATGGGAGGGGAGAAAGGCAGGAAGATGAGAGCACAAGCTGCCCAATGGGAGGAGAGAGCAGCTGTGGCTTCAGAGCTAGGTGGGCCCTCTTGGGTCCACATTGATAGGTTTCTCAATGAGGTTTTCCATCCTCGATCCATATCGATCTAACACCTTATGATACTATGACCCTATCATGTTTCAAATAACCGTGTATTTAAAACATTATGGCGTGTTTGATTGCCTACATTGATCGCTGAGCCAGGTTGACAGGGTGCAAGGTGCTCTGTTTGTTTGCCTGGAGGAGAGATTGGGCCAGCCTCACACGCGTCTTAGGGTGTGTTTGGTTCCATGGATATCTATGGATGGGACATGGATATCCCTAGATACAAGATGTTTGGTTGGATGGACAAGCTGAACGTGGATATCCACAACAGGGAATATTTTGGGTAGATGCTGGATATCCTAGCCCTCCGAAATCTGGTGGATGAGGATATCAACACATTGATTAGCGCATATTTTGTGTGACAATTAGAGTAGTACAATGCTAATTAATGTATTTTATTTTTAATTAGTAATTATAATGACAAGATTAGTGTCGGTGCATATTTATTAGGGTATAATTAGTTGTTATTATTTCTAAATAATATATATAATTAGTAAGTATTCTCATCCCATGCAATCTCATCCATCCAACCCAACAGAAAAATGACTCGTCCTATCTATCCAACCATACAGACAATATGAATATCCATATGCCAAATTTTATAGATGGCCATGTCCCATCCACCCTCGTTCTCGAACCAAACACACCCTTGATGTTGCATCCAGAGAAACGAAAGCCAGGTTCGTTGCGAGCAAGAACAGGATGTTGCCATCACCACCCTTCGCGTCACCCTCCGTGCCCACCTCCCTCAAGATGGCGGCCTGTGTCGGGATCCTGCTGCTCCACTTGATGCCGCCTCGGGTGCCAGGATCTGCCTCTCCATCGACAACGCCAATGAGGCCGACCCGGACCTCAAACTCGTCCATTGCCGCGGCGGCTCGCAGCTCTGGGAGAGCTGAGGCACGGCATGGCCTGAGCATGGCGGCTGCGAGGACAGGCTCCGGTGGATGCGGTTGGACAAGCTCCGGTGGATACGCGTGCGCCGGCGATGGACACGGCGCTGCCAGCTGCCACCGTCGGCACCATCCTCTCCCGCTGTTCATTGCACTATTTTTCTCTCTTCTCCTAAAACAACTGGAAGCCGGTGAAGAGCCACTCCCAGGAGGCTTCGCCGGCTCATGGAAGCCATTATATTTGTATAGTGACAAAAGGTGGAGAAGCCGAAACCTCCGTAAACTTTGCCAAAGTGGCCCTTAAACTTATGCATGCTTATGCTTGTAAGAGCTCTAGTCAGCTTTGATCCATATACCATACTAAGGAGTAGATTTTATCTCTCTTCTAAAATAAATAGGAGCCGATGAATCAACTGTTAACTTTACTGGCCCTAGCTTCTTCGTGCACTAAAATTGGACCCATAGTAAATTGGACCTTAAAGCCTACAAATTCTTGTTAAGGTACACTTGTATGTGTACAAATGGCTTAAATCCAATAGAGCTCGTTCCTAAGGCTCTCCCTCCGCATCCTACTTGGTCATCGAAACTGTTTTCCAGCCGCCAGCGTCTAGTCTCTGCCCTCCCCATTGCATAGCCAGCGGAGCCTCTCTTTAGTCCTTACTGCCGATGCCGAGACCCTCCCCGTGCAGCGATTGAAGATGGGAGAAAAGAAAACGCACACGCCACTGACAGAAAGGTCCTACTTATAATAAAAATACCAAGGCTTAAAGTTGAAGGCTTGTTAAAGTCATCAGAGAATAAATTTAGAAGCTAGAAAAGAAAGGGGCTATAGTTCAAGTATTGGAGGGGTGTGAAACAACCGAATAGATGCCTGTGCAAGGAAAATATTATTCGGTGCATATTGCAAAGGGGTGGTGCTAGCTAGAAAATAAAGATGACCTGACTAGAACTAGGAACTTGAGGACGGCATTGTAGATTCCCGGTCCCCAATCCCCATTTGTGCAGAGGGGACAAGTACTAGTGGAGTGTCTGTCTGTCTCTGATTTCCATCAGTAGTTTCTTCAGTCCCCATTTGTGCAGAGGAGGCAAGTACTAATGGAGTCTAGTGGAGTGTTTCTCTGATTTGCCTGGGTAGTTTTTCTCCAAGACATGCCCTATGTGCTGCTGCGTTTATTTACTTTTCATGCATCTTCGACTCCGTTTACTAAGCATCCTACAAACGAGTTGAAAACGTGTCTTGAGTTTACAAACATGGATGAAATACGAATAATGAATTACTTAGTCTATTTAATTATTGCCAGGGTAACGACAAAGTCTCCAATATACACATCTCACCATATTCTTTTCTAATTATATAATAGGTAGCAAAAGTCAGGCTAATAATGATTAAAAAAACGCGTTAACATCGTTTTTCTCAATGCGCTTTTTTTGGGTTAATAACATGAAAACGATCTTGAAAAGTTGACTAGCTTCAATAACCACATCTATAAGGGACTGATTAGTAAAATACCCCGGCATACGAAAGATTCTATCATCGTGATGAAGATGACAACACCGATTGTGGCTAGAGTCTCATCTCCATATTATTGTTAAATTCCTCCATATAACATGTGCATACATATGAGACACGAGGCCAATACATAAAGTATTATAGAACTGTAGAGTGTAGACTGTAACGCACATGGACACTCAATTAGGCATATTATGGCCCCATTGAGGTGGGCAGGTTACCCGAAAATTATGGCTCGTTTGATGAAAAATCTGAGCATTAACAAATGATACCGTTGAGAATTATTATTTATGATCAACTAGGATCATGCCTGTGCGTTGCAACGGGAACAAAATAATATCACAGTAATTTTAAGCTTAATCATGCATATTAGCCTGTGAGTGTTATTTCTTTATGTGATTGTAGCATTTCACCAGATTTCTTAGCTTTTCTTCAACGGTCTTCATGAGGGAACCATCAATCACCTTAAGAAAACACCTTAAACCATTGAAATATATACTCATCTCTTCTATACCGTAACCAGTAAAAAAAATCTATAAGCCAATACCCAATAAAAGGGCAGCACTCTCAATGCAGCTTTCATATATTATATTCCAGTAAAGTTAGAGAAGATGGTATTACAAGAAATTCATCTCATACAAAGGACAGTATTGATCTATCATTCACATTCTTTTATTCATCTTCCACTTCGTGTTGGTACGACGATGCCCTACCAATATGTAATGGCAGGAGTGGTAACATCCAGTGATTGTGGTGAGTGGTAACATCCTGAAAACTCTTCCTAATCCAATTGGCAAACATGTTTTACTTCTATTTTATGATCTCAGCTGCAAAATTGCAGCCACGGTTGGCAAGAAAGCCACCACTAACAAGGAACATGTTGCAGAAGTGCCGTACAAAGAGCTACTCAACCCATCAAAGTAATCTACAACAACCAACCAATAAAGTCAGGATCCCGTAGTCAAATCTCGTGAAAATGACTTGAATGCATGTGTTAACAAAACCATGGTAAAGAACAAAATAGTTAGACCTTGCAACATGACAAAGTACCAAAGAAGCCATACAACAAAAAATGCATAGAAATTCCCTGCATCCATAATTTTTTGTCGACCCGTGATATAGCTTAAATGATTTAGTCGCATCAAGCAGGTATTCCTCAACATAACCACATTTGAAAACTAAAATGATCTATTCAACTATTACTCTCCAACCAATAGCAGACTCACCTTGTACTCTCCAAACAAAAGTGGATCATGTCAGTGTACTCGAAGAAGATGGGCTTTCTCTGTCAAAAGTCAAACTCATGTAGTATTCAGTTAAAAAAAACTCATGTAGTATGGTAAAGAGGACATCTTTTTTGTCCTTAATAATTAGTCACCCTTTTTCAAAATATTATTGTATTCATTGCAGGGGCTTCCTACATGAGAAAAGTTTCCCCCTTACTTGGTTATTACCTGATTCTAACAATGACATTGATAATCCAACAAACTACACTAATGTATTATCCTGACTAACATAAAGTATGGAAACTTAATGTCAAATCGAAGGCGTTAGTATAGGAGATAAAAACAAGCCTACTCACCAGATCATTGGAGCTCTTCGTCAGATGTGGCAAGAGGGCAGCGACTCCCACCTGGCCCCAGTGAATGCGAGACAGCGGCGTTAACTTAGGGAGGGCTACATGGGCGCACGGCAAAGGACTTCATCTGCATCCTGCCACTCAATATTAAGGAAAAACATAAACAGCAGAGGATGGACAGACATAGAGTAACCCACATGACAAAGTGTCCAAAGAAGCCATGCAACACAAAATTCATAGAAATCCCAATGCATACATAATTTTTTTCGACCCCAACAGCTACTTCAGTAGTGTAGTTGTCGGTGTTTTGGAACCGAGGGTCCCTCAACCGACGAGTGAATTTGTGCTGCGTGCCCCTAATCCCGGATGGTGGCGCAAAGAGACACAAGGTTTATACTGGTTCAGGCAATCGAGGCCCTACGTCCAGTCCGAGAGATCGATCTTGTATTCCTTGCACCGGAGTGCTCGTAGTAGGGGGTTACAAGCTAGGTGAGAGAGGGAACTAGCCCCAGGTCTCGACGAGTGTGGTGCGGGCTGCTTGAGGCGTTGTTCCCAAGCAAAGATATGAGTCTTGCGGTCTATCGGCTTGTTCCTCTTTTTTCGAGAAATGGCCCCATCCTCCTCTTTTTTATACTCTAAGGGAGGACCGGGACCGTGCATGATGCTACATAGCGCTTCAGAATGGGGTGGCGTGTCCGAGCCTCGTAGTCGGCCACCGTGTTGTGGTATGGTCGATGGAGTGGCCCCGTCCTTGTCGTGCGGAAGTGACATGCCGGTCGACTTCGGTCTTGCGCGGTCGTGGGGCTCCATCTCGGCTTGATGCAGGGACATGGCGGGCGACGTCTTTGGTCGCCGTGTAATGACGTCGTGGGGCAGCGGCTGCTCTGCAGATGCCGAGGCCGAGCCATCGTGGGGGGGCTCGGTGGTCATGGACCCTCAGCCGCCGAGCCCGTGAAGCAAACTGTCGAGGCCTTGGGGGAGTTATTGGCCTGGTGCGATTCCGAGGCCACAGAGCTTCAGACGTGGCTCCCCATGCTGCGTTGTCCTTGGAGCAGAGTTAGTTGGCGGCCTGAGGAGGCATGGGTGTCAACTATGTGTACGGTGGATAGCATAGTGACGGGTAACCCCGCCTTGATCCGGGACGTCTGGTCATCGCGTGATGACGCGTAGGGGGTCGTGGCCTCAGAGGTGCCGAGCCAAGCCCATCGCGGGGGGCTTTGGCGGACATGGGTCCTCGGTTTGTCGAGCCCTCGGAGCGAGCTGCCGAGGCCTTGGAGGGAATTATTGCTCCTGGGTACTGATTCCGAGGCCACAGTAGCTCAGACGTGGCTCCCCATGCTGCGTTGTCCTTGGAGCAGGAGTTGGCAGCACAGTGAGGCATGGGCGTCAACCACGTGCACGGGGGTTAGTACAACAAGGGTAACCCTCATGCGATCCCGTCTCTCGTCCCCATCGGCCATTCTCAACATCTTGTCTGCCGGTCATGCGGTCATTGTCGAGGGCGATTGCTATTGAGTTGACGCGACACGACGTTTTGCCAGAAGGACGGGAGAAGGAAGAGGTAGCGGCGTGCTGCCGAGCCTGCCTTGCGCGAGACGGAGGGTCGGTGGCCTCGGCCGAGGCCTTTGGCGGGGGATCGACCGAGGCCCGTGGTGAGGGGGCCTCGGGCGAATCGGAGAATCGGCCGAGGCCAGCAGCGTTTAGCTGGGTTCGATCTTTACGAAATCTAAGCCGTCATTTTTTGGATTTTGCTTGGGGTACCCCTTCTCACGGTATCCGACAGTAGCCCCCGAGCCTTGGGAGGAGTGGAGGCACTCCCCCTGAGGTTCTGACGAGAATTGGCTCTTGATAGCTCCTGTCGGGATGGTGTTTTGTTTTCGAGGTTTCGGTGGGTGCGCGCGAGCGCACCCGCCGGGT